TATTCGCTTTGTAACGACTCCCAGTCGGTTTTCTACCGTCTTAACCATCTTATATACTACTTTCATTAACAGTTTAACCTTGTCGTCAGTCCAAGCAAAGATATCTCTGGTCTTACATTTTGCCATCTCTGTACTATTTTCTGTAACTAAGCTGTTAACGTCAGCACGCACATGCCCACTGTACGTGAATGGTTTAGGAATTCTCAGGCGTGTTGCTACGGACGGAGATAATTTCTGAAATGGTGCTAATGGCACATAGTAATGAACCCACTACGACCTGCTCAGCACCAAACAGCAGAGTGAATAATTATCTGGTTAACAAAGTGGAGCATGTGGCAACTTCAGAGCCAGATACTTCCCTGGAGAATTAAATCAGCCCTCGATGTTTGAGAATAGTCAAGATTAGTTTTTCAGATTTTTTGTTTTGTGTCGATTGTCAGCGGTGATGAAGAGCAGCCTGAGGAGACCAGCAAGGTCAGTCTCCTCCTCCTCCTCACTGCCTGGCAGGAGGACAGAGGAGAGGTCACCACCTGCCAGCACGAGCCAAGACACCCCGCCAAACCAAGAACACTCACACAACTGCTCTCCGGCAAGACAAGACATCAATGCTGCTCTCTCCTCTCTGGTAAAACAGCCTGTTCAGAGACTGCTGACTGTGCTGAATTCAGCCCGTCACAGATCCATCATCTCATCTATTTTTTAAACGTTCTGATGCTATTCAGGGTCGTGGACACGCTGCTGTCCATCAGAACTCAGTCACTGTTTAATGTTTTGTTGTTTGGCGTCTTCTCATTGTAGAGAAGAGATTCTCCACCAAAAGAGCCAGAGTGCAGTGAGACAGAATCAGTTCAGGAGGTCATCACACACCCTGACGGGAAGGTGAGAAAGTTTGTACATCACCAGGATATAAAATCTACAGACTGAAACTGTGACTTGATGGGAGCCACCACAGACAACAAGTTATATGAAAGACTGTGGAAATATCACCTGTTGTTAATATGAACAAGTTGTCCTACTTTAGTTTGTTTGTTGTTATGAGCTGCTGATGGTTTGTGATCTCCAGATAGAGAATGTTTTGGCCAGTGGTGATCGCCTTATCATGTTCCCCAACGGGACCAAAAAGGAGGTTTCAGCAGACGGACTGATGGTCAAAGTCACCTTTTTCAATGGGGACACCAAAGAGGTCACAGCTGACCAGAGAGTGGTGAGACATTAACACTATGTTAATCACATTAAGTGATGTTTTTATCCTCTGAGTTCGAGGAGTCGATTCTTCTTTGTGCAGCTTGAGCGCTCACAGTTGAATGTTACTCATCTGACTTTATCTACTTGGTAACGCTCTGCTTCTTGTGCTCAGATCTACTTCTAAGCTGACGCCCAGACGACACACATCACCTACCCTGACGGCATGGAGGTCCTGCACTTCCCCAACAACCAGACTGGTGAGATCACATGACCTGGGGCCTACTGCACAAAACTAGGATAAGGGATTATGCTGGGATATCTTGGTTATTCTGGCTCAACTTATCCGTGATCTGGTTGCACAAAAGCGGGATAGTGGACAGCGGGATATGTTATGACATAAGTTACCATGGAGATTCATTCTGTGGAGCTAGCCTGTTCCAGACCAGGCTAAGTTCCAGGATCTATTTAATCTCATCCCTTTTCTCAGTCAGCAGTCACCACAAACGGAAACCAATAGTTATTCCACTGCCCAATGCACATTGTTATCAAAATCAACCAGACCCACTGTCATAATTTAAACATTTATGATCATTAATTGCAATCATTTTAGATAAATGATGATTTTAGATGATTTTGCAATCATTAGATAATTTACAGTTTTCCATAGACTATATATAACACATCCCATATAAATATAAATACACATCAAAGAGTAACATGATGTTCCTTTATTGAATAAGGATAAATCAAAGCAAGTAACCCATCAGCTCCTTTCAAAACTGAAGTCACACAGTGACTCTACAAGATAGAAAGCACGGAATCAAAGCATATTATACAACACAAGAATAAATACACATTCAAAGGTCTGTATATGATACACCCCGCATGTCTGCACACTGAAATAAATGCAGGACAAATCCATACACAACAAATGAACAGACAAATGAATGGATGCAGTAGCCTCCCTGCAATCTTGTATACACACAGTATAGAGCACAAACAACATAAGAGGCCAAATCAATTTAAATTGAATAAAAAAAAAACACAAATTCCTAAAGCATGCATGTTAACTAAAATAATTTAACACATAATGGTCCCTGACCAGCCGACCACTGTCGTCATCAGGGAAGATGGCAGGATTGTCCCAGTCCATGTGTGATGGCACTCTGGAGGCCCTCTCCTTCCTCAGGCAGGCCACATTGTGGAGGACAGCACAGGCCACAGTGATGTCACATGCCCTTAAAGGGCTGACCCTTATGTGGTTAAGACAGTGAAAGCGTGCCTTCAGGAGGCCAAAGGTCATTTCGATTGTGGCCCTTGTCCTGGCATGGGCATGATTATAGGCCTGCTGTGCTTCCTGAGGGTCTGTGTATGGTGTGAGGAGAAAAGGCTGGCAGGCATACCCACTGTCCCCCAGCAACACACCAGAGAATTCACCTGTCAATACAAAATCTCATCATCACAACCTCATAAATAGAGTGACATTCTTGACACAGCCATGATAAAAAAAGAGGTTATTAACAGAGGTTGTGTGACTCACCTTGTGATAGGCACTAATAGATTCCAGAGGTCCGAAAGACTCGGGAGTCATGGACTGAGCCGGGCCACTTTGCCACAACATTGCTGATCAGATAGTCAGCATCGCTGACCATCTGAAATGATAAGATGAAGACTATTAAACCAATCAATGCACATCACAAGCAATGCACAGAGTTCATTAATCGACAATATCAAAACGTAATGTTCACCTGAACATTAATGCTGTGAAAGGATTTTCTATTCACAAAATCCAGTGGTACATATATA